ATCTATCTATCTATCTATCTATCTATCTATCTATCTATCTATCTATCTAAATATATTTATTAGCAGGAGGTCTAGTTTCAGATGCAGTTTCAAAGTCCAGGTTGACAAGATGGGATGCTTGATCATTGCACAGGAGTTTTCTTTCTCCTTATTTTTTTTTCCTGTCTACTTTCTCTTCTTAGAGGAAAATCATTTTAAATTCCGCTCTCTTCCGAAGACTAAATATAGTTAAGTATCAACAGAAGCCTCTTAAATGATCAAACACTGAATGCACTACATCCATGATAATATTACAAAGGATGATTTAAAGCATCCCAGGGTTTTTGACTTTACACTGGTTCAGTCGCACTGTCGATATTGTTAAAGTAACTCTGTTTGTATTGTCAAGATCACTCTTATTACATGAGTGCAAACAATGTTTAGGATCTTTTCCTATTATGCTGTTGTTGGGCAAATTTTGTTATGCTTCATCTGTCTAAATGCAGCATGGATTTGTAGTTTAACCTCAGATAATTTTTCTAATCCATTGCAAAAAATTTTTTTGGCTCTTATCAGCACTTCTGTTTTGGAGTATAATATGTAGACAAGCAGATTCTGGGAACACAAAGTAACAGCTGGTTTTAGGAAAACTCTCCATATTTAATTAACTTAAGCCTTGTAAATCAAGATGTCTCGCATTTAATTTTGGGACTTTAGGACAATCAGCGTTAAAGAGTTTGGGAGCACTAAACGTTTTTCTAAGTAAAGGCTATTGATTGTATGAATCAAACACACATTTCTTCTGACTTTTTCCATTACAAGCATCTTTTTCCCTCTAGGTCACAAGACCTAAAGTAAAACTGCTCTTAAGTCAAGTCAGCCGTATAGGAAGATGAATGTTCTTCTCTATCCTTTTTCCTAAGGGTGTTACAACAGACCATCAAATTGATTCCGACTTTTCATTGATGAACTCAAGATGTGCTCCTTCTCCAATTTCTTCCCATAACAATCTGGGCAAAGGGCTGAGAGAAAATGAGTGG